TTCTAGAGTTAACCTGGTACCAAGGCAACTAATAGTCTTCCTTTGACAATTTCCGATATGAGGTTTACACAAAGAATTTTATCTTTTGCAACTTCTTTCGGCCATTATTCCATACAGGTGGTGGGCAGCACTGAATATCTACCACCGTTTCGCTGCAATCTGCTCTCGTTGACCCATTCGGCAACCCTTCCTGAAGACGCATTTGCATCCATGGCGTCTGCTGCCACCGCTGCTTCCGGCTACTCATTTGGTCGTGATCTGACTGTCTCTGACTCCACTCCCAACATCACTGGTCAGAATACCACTAGCATCCAGACGACGAAATCACTGAGTGGCAGTGTCTCAGCTTCGGCGACAGGACTGGCTGGGATCCCGGCCAACAACACAAGTGCCACTACAGTGGCAGACGCGTCGGGCTGTTTGCTGCTCACCGTCACCATGAAGCCGCCCTCACCAAGCCTCAGCCAGGCCGAATCGCTGGCCTGTAGTCTAACTGGACTAGGCGGGCTTGGTTCAACTTCATTGTCTCCTACAACAATTGCCGTAAGCACCGGTACCACGACAAGTCGTATTAAAGTGGCATCGGGCACCTTGGTGGCCGGTGGACCCTGGGCCGGTACTAGTAGTGGCGTTGAGACACCGGGAGGAGCTTCCACTGGGGCCAGGGTTGGCCAATGGCTCAACGGACCTTCTTTATCCCGGATCATTGTCGGACACGGGCTTCAACAGCAGCAGCAGCCACAACAACAGCATCTGGAACTTGGCGAAATTTGTAGTAGCCAGTCCGGCAGCATCATTAGTGAGGCACTAGCTGACGGCCTAGAAGCAGGCCTCGAACTTGAATCACTCCACGGCAGCAGCAGCTGCTGCAGCACAGCGTATGCTTTGGCCACACCGGCAGCTTCAGTGAACTCGACCACTTGCTCAAATGTACAAGCACTGAATGGTCCGTCTGGTTGGCAGCAGGGGAGTGGCAGCTTTGTTATGGTATCACCAGACACTCCAGGTTTAGATAGCTCGACTAGCGGTGGTAGATTGCAAACTGAGGCGGAGTATGTCATAGAATCGGTAAGATATTGGCCGTAAAACTTAAGTACTACTACCATTGTTTACCATTAGTAGTAATTTATTTTACAGCTATCACGAAGTCTATATAAAAACTGGATTTTAATGAATGCGTAAAAAGTTGAGCAGAAAATACTTATTGATGTTGGATAAACTTAAAAAAAGATATAAAGAGGGTAACTGGAAAGAACCTCTGGGTAAGAAAAGAAGGCTTTAATTGCTTTGAGTCTAGTTAGGACTCACAATTCACGTGATTTGTAAATTCCATATACACATACACATACATACCGTTTCTTATGAAAATATTCTATTATTGGCCTTATTGAGTCACT